AAGGGCGCTGGCCGAGGTGCTGAAGCCACAGCGCCCACGGCGCCCGGAGCTCCGGCCGGGGGCTCCTCCTGACACGGGGTGCCGGCCGGGCCGGACGGAGGGCAGGCGGGTCGGCTCAGTGACTGGCCCCCAGAGCGACAGCTGGCCCTCTGGCCTGTCTCTCCACTCGACAAGCCCTCAGCCCGCGGCCAGCTGTGGGCTGTCCACCGTCTGCCCCCGACTCTGCCCCCGCGGGAAGCTCCCGGGTCAGAGCCCCGTCCGCCCCCACAGCGGCGCCCCGCGGCCAGCTCGCGGTCCAGGGCATGGCGCTGCAGAGTGGAGCGGTTGCCAGCACAGACTCGACACAGTTGCTCAGGTTGAGCTCTGGAAAGTCCTGCCACCCCTTGGCGCCTGTTTCCTCGCGAGTAAAACGGGGACCATGGCAACACCCCGCCTGGCGCGGCTGCGAGGATGAGTGAACTCCGTGGGGCGGGTAAAACGCAGCGCGGCCCACAGTGAATGCCGGTGTTCGCCAGCCTGGCCAATGCACCCCGCCTCAGCAGCAGGCACCCCTGGAGAGGGATGGGTGCAGGGACAGCGAGCGCCCCCGCCGAGGCCTGCCCCCAGAGCCCGGCCGGGGGCAGCCGCAGCGGGGGCTGGTCCCTTCTTGGCAAGGCTGGCTGAGTGGGCCCAGGAGGGACTGGTCTGTGTGTGGAGTGTGCGCGCACGTGGGGGTCCCCAGCGTCCCCAGCAGGCTGGCGCGAGATGTGGTGTGAGGACTCAGGTCTCCCCACGCCTGGGGCAGGAAATCGGATCGCTCCCGCCCAGGGTCCCCTGCCTTCCTGAAGCACCGCCCTGGTCTGATTGGAAGCCGCGTCCAGCGATTAGTCCTGTCTGAGCCGCCCGCACGACGTGGGGGCTCCACTGTGCTCCCTTGGCCTAGATTTCCCCGGGGACAGCTCTGGCCGCCACCGTGCGCCTGGTAAATTAAATGTGAAAAAATCTCCATGATGACTTTAATCAATCCACTGAGATGGGGGCGGCCTCCTCCCGGAAAGCCTGGCCCACCCCAGGGAGCCCCTCCCCCAGGCTCAGGGTCTTGGAGGAGAGGATGAAGGGTCACAGCGGGCGGGGCTCCAGGAGTGCCTGCGCGTGCAGGAGCGAGGGGGGCGGGGCCTCCTGGAGCCTAGCTCCTCCCAGTCCAGGCCAGAGGGGCCCCGAGGAGGAGGACTGGGAGACCCTGGGCCCCCTTATGGCTTGCCTGATCCCTGCCGCCGCCAGGAGCGGCCACAGGGCACGGAGGGGCAGCTTCCCTTGGGATCTGTCCTGACCCAAGGCCCAGGTGGGCATCCCGCTCCGCAGATGTAGTGGGGTTGGTGGGGGGCAGGTGGGTGGAGACAATTCCTCCAGCTGCCGCTTGGGGGAGTCAGGAGAGGAGCCCCGTCAGTGGGGGTGGGGACGGGAGGCTCCACGGTCCTTCCCCGGGAGCGGAGAGGGCGCCGGACTGGGGTCCGCCAGGCACCCCGGCCAAGCAGTCGCGTCCTGCCGTCTGCTCGCGGAGCCTCCGGCACTCTGACCCCCAGGCCTCACTTCCCCAGTCTTCTCCTTGCCTTGCCGTTTACCTTTCAGGGCCCGTTCAGGGAGCCTCTCCCTGGGCAGTGCTCCCTCACACCGCCTGAACTCCCAAACCTTCCCCGCGGGCCTAGGTTATTTAGGGCGACCCTGACCGGCTGCTCCTCTCTCTCCAGGCAGGGGGCGCCCGCACAGCAGGAGCGCGGGATCCGGGTCTGAACTTGTATCCGGGAAGAGCGCCCCCGCCCCGCATTCCCACCGAGACTTGGCCGCGCCCGGGGACTAGCCCGAATCCTCCAGCCGCGGGGAGTTACTGGAGAGACCGGAGGGGGTCCGGGGCCGGGGCAGAGAAAGCTGCAAGTGGCGGTGGAATCGGGGTTTTGGAGTGGAGGCGCGGAGAGGGGCAGAGGCCCCCCTGCGAAGCTCGAGGTTCCTGGTGGGGTGGGCCTTGGAGGTCCATAGGCGGACGCAGGGGCGTGGGATGAGGGCTAAGGAGGAGTGCCCGGGAACACGGGCAGAGTGTGGAGCTCAAGATCACTGTGCTCTGTCCACGTCTCCAGGGGCTGGAACCCCCAAAGCGCCGAGTCCCCGGGACCGATTGCAGGGGAGGGGCTGCGACATGGCCCCTGTCCGTAGAGGCTTCTCGGAGTCCAGCTCAGCGGCTCGGCCCTGGTAAATTTAAATTTAACGAGGGCCCCACTCGCTGTGGGTCGGCACATCCCTCCCTGTGTCTCCGGGCCAGAGCACCAGGCAGGGCACGCGAGGCAGGGGTGTGCCGACCCACAGCGAGCGGGGCCCTCGTTTTCTTTCGCCACACCTCCTCCAGGCCGCGTGTCGGGGTGTCTGGCTCGCCGCCGGAGCGGAGGGGGCGCTGTCGGCGCCGACGGGCGGGGCCGGAGCGCGGGGGCGCGCGGCGCCAAGCGAGCGCAGGTGCCGCGGGCGCGGGCCGCCGAGGATTGGGGGCCTGGCGGGCGGCCGTGCGCCGTGCGGGGCGCGGCGGCGGCGGGCACGCGGCCAGTGAGCGCGCGGGCGGGGAGGCGGCGGTGGCGGCGGCGGAGCTCGGAGCCGCTCCCCGCGCTCCGCTCCTTCATGGCGCTGCCCGGGTCGCCCGAGCCGCCCCACGGCGCACCCCGCAAGGCGCCCAGCCTTCTGGAGATGGGGGCGCTCTGCCTGGATTCGGAGATCATTCTGGGCTTCACAAGCCACCTCCTGCGGCGGCGAGCCAAGGTGAGGACCGGGCGGCGGGACCTGGCTGGCGGCAGAGGCGCTGTCCCGCGACTTTGTGGCGCGTCTCCTGCAGCTCAGGGTGCCGCGCCGGGAAGGAAAAGCGGGTTCTGAGCAGAGTCCCGCAGCCCAGGCCGGAGACTCGCTGGCTCACTTTCCCCCACGCGTCCTGCCCCATCTCCTTCTCCTCTAAAGGCTGCGTCCTGAGCTGGAGGCACTCAGCCTGGCGGAGAGCGCAGCGCAGGGACCCCGGGTCCCACAGCGTGCCTTGCTGGGGTGGGCGAGGCAAGGAGTGGGGGGCTCGTGGCTGAGACCGAGTCCTTGAGGTGACTCCTGGTCCCGCGCCTACCTCTAGAGTCTGCGGGGCTGATCTGTCCCTCTCTGGGGACTCGGATGTGCGGTGTGAGCGTGTGCCCCCCCGAAGTGCCGCAGTGGTACGGACCACCTAAGTTGCGGGTGTGGCCGGCCCAGGGCATAAGACCCGGGCTCCGCGCCGGCATATTTCTGGGAGCGCATGTGGGTAGTGCGTGTGTGCGGGGCAGAGAGCCACGCTTCCCGGGCCGGGGGAGTGGGGTGTGTGTGTGTGTGTGTGTGTCCCAAAGCAGCTACAGGGCTGGGGCGGAACTGTCTGCAGGCGATGGGGGAGGTCCGTCGGTGTGTCCCGGGGCACCCAGACCCTGTATGGGGCTGACGCCCGTGTTCCTTCCCAAGGCTGCGATGAGACAGGAGATGGGAAGTGCTTCCGGCCCTCGCGCTGAGTGGAAAGAGGCTGGAGGCTGCGAGACCGCAGGGGGAGACTGGGGAGCCTTTGCCCACATTATTCCCCCCACCCCCGCCACACTGCAGGTCTGAAACGACTCGGAAAGCCAGGGGCAGATGACCCACCCCTCTTGGGGAGAGTGCGTGCATGGGTGAGGAGGACTTTCCAAGTATAAGGGAGTTGGGCAAAGAAGGTAGATATGAGGGGCTCAGGAGAGGTGGGCAGCGGCTCGAATCGTCGCGAGGGTCTCATTGTGTGCGCGGGGAGCCGCGGATCGCGGTCTCGGCAGGGGCCACAGCCCGCCAGCCGGCCCTGCTCCGGCTAGGCTCCTTCTGGTCCCCGGGGCGCGCCTCCTCGCCTGGGACGCGTGGCGCCAGGTCTCTCTCCAGCCTCCGGGTGCGCGGTGGCCAGCAGGGGTCGCTCGCGTCACGGGAAGGCGGGCGGCCGTGCCCGCCCAGCCTGACCCCGGTTTCGGATTGACCCGGAACGGGGATCCGGAATCGCCTGCTGCCTCGGTTAGCGGAGACACTTAGGGCCGAGCTGGAGCGGGAGCAACTGGTCGCCAGAGAGGGGGCGGCGACCTCCCAGCCGGAGACAAACAGGCAATTAATTCCGGAGCTGAGTTCCCATCTGCCAGGCCGGCTGACAACAGGTCCCGCGCACACCCCCAGGGCCAGCCGCGCCACCTCCTCCCGCTTCCCGGGCACACAGCGCGCACAGCCACCTTCGTGCACACGCGCGGCTGCAAAGACACGCGTGCCGCTCGCAGACACGCCTAGACATGGATCCATGACCAGGAGCACAGCGCGGCCCGGGGAGCAGACCGCGGAGTCACTCACCCACGCGCGACAGTTAGACCCAAAGGGTGCCCAGAGACACGCGGAGGGCACTGGATTTGCAGGAAAAAGCGCCTGGGCGTTTGGGGGCTGGGGTTCGGCCCCTTCCTTGTCCCACCCCTTTGTGTGAGGTTGGGCAAGATCTCCCCCGGGGACCCTCAGTTTCTCGCCTGCGAAGTGAAAAGTGGGTTGACGCCTCCCGGGAGACCCGCATACCCGGGTGTCCCGGCACGAGAGCAGGACGGCGCATGCGCGAGCGCGTACCTTGTTTTAAAGCGGCCCCCAGCGCCCCTCCCTCGGGCTGGGACTCGCCCAACAAGTTGGGGTCCTTGGAGTGGGAGGGGCCGCGCCGACGGGCTAGGTCCCTCCCCCAAGCACCGCCGAGCCCAGGGCTGGGGTGGGACGGCCCCCCCGCGCCCCGCCCCCACCGGCCCGGGCCCCGCCCCCGCCTCCCGAACGCGGCGGCCGCCGCCAGCGCGCGCTCTCTGTCACTCGCCCTCCCGCGCCGCCAACTTCGGAGCGGCCGGCGGGACCATGGGGGCGCGCCCGGGCCGTATCACGTAGCCACGGCGCCCCCGGACCGCCCGCGTGGCCCCAAGCTCCCCCCTCGCCCTTCCTGCTTCTCGGCCATGGGCGGCCGCGGCGCCCCCGTGTGCACGGCGCACCCCGCGGTACGCGCGGCCGGGCCCGACGAGGGTGGGCGGGCGCCGCGGGACGGGGCCCTGGACGCCGAGACAGTCGTGGGGTGCGCGGCATCCCCTAGGTGCCGGGCCTGGGGGCAGCGCGGGGGCTGCCGGGCCTCGGGCCGGGAGGGCCCTTAGCCCAATCTCCCTGCATGGAGGAGAGGGCGGGCGGCAGGTCCGCGCCCAGCGCTCCTAACTTTGTCGAGTGCACCAACTCAGGGGCCCGTGACGCGCTGAGGTTTGGAGTCCCCGGTGCTGGGCCTTGGGAGGGTGCCGCGGTGGCCTGGGCTCACTGTCGCCTTCCGCACCCACTCCCCGCAGGTGGCCGAGGGCGGCCTGGGCCGGGAGCCGGTGCAGCTCCTGGAGGTGGCTCCCCGGAAGAGGCTGCCCGCCGGGCCCGAGCAGGACCCATGTGGCAGCCGCCCTGCGCCCGAGGGCGCCGGGGCAGGCGCAGAGCAGGGCCACTCGGCCGGCGGGGGCGCCTGGTGCCGCCATTGCCACACGAAGCTCGCCGAGCTCAAGCGACAGGCGTGGAAGCTGGTCAGCGGGTCCGGGACGCCGCTCCGGGTAAGTGACCTTTTCCGGGCTGGCCCCTCCAGCGGGGCCGTGTGGGGACTGGGCAGACCTCGGCCCCGGCGGGAGGCAAGGTTTCACTGACCGGTTCTGGCCAGTCCCTTCTCCACCCTGGGCCTCAGTTTCCCTTCTGTAACCGTGTATGAGTTGGGGCAGGGGGATTGTTGGGGGGTCGGCGTGGGCGTTTCTGGGCGAGCTGTGGGTGTCCGGCAGCTGGAACTGCAGTCTGTGTTTGGAAGGGGAGGGAGAGAGGGAGGCCACTGGCTGGGACCCACCCCGGGCAGGACAGCTCCTGCCCTGCTGGTGCAGAGGTTGCTCGGTGTGTTGTTGCCCTCGGGCCCCCTGGGCCTGCCGCCGGCCTAGGGAAATGCACACCTGGGGCAGGAGGGCTTGGAGGCCGGAGGGTGGGCCTGCTGCCACGGGGGGAGGGGCGGCCCTGCCTGTCCCCTCCTGGCTTTGCGGCAAAGAGTCGGCTGCAGGGCACAGCTGGGCTCTGCCGCCGCAGGCAGTGGCAGCCTGTCTTGGAGGCGAGTGGCTGGGCGCCGGGGCTCCCCAGGCTCCGGCCCCAGCTGCCAAGGTGTTTGCCAGGGGTGGGGGCGCCCTCCAGCCAGTGGGCTGGCCTGGGCCTTGGAAGGAGCTGGGACATTGTTCCAGGAACAATGCACCCTGGAAGTTCGCAGGCCTGGGGAGGTGGGGGTCTCCAGCGGAAGCCCTTCCCGCCTGACCTTCAGGCTTTTGGAAAGCGTTCCTGGAAGCCCGAAGAGTCCCCATTGAATCTAAATATAGCTCTCCACAGCGGCCGGCGGTCGAGGGCGGGGGAGACGCGGGCCCCGGGGTCCCGCTGCTGCTGCCTGTCCCGGGCAGGCGGGGTGGCGGGGGTCCGGTTTCTTCCCTGGGCTCTCGGAGGGGACGCGCGGCCGGCCCTGGGGCGTGGCTGGTGCCTCCCCTCTCTGCGCTGAGCAGGGCGCGACCTTGCTGAGCTCTCTGCCCCCGATGGACGGTCTGAGTCTGGCTGAGAAGACACCGGGGACCTTCAGGCCCCCGGAAGGTGCGGCCGGGGACAGACTCTTAGGAGCCCGTCAGCTGCAGAGCCTCCTCGCCACCCCATCGGGTGGGCGGCGGGGGGACTTCGAGGCCGAGCGGGGCTTCGCCTGGCAGCACCGGGCATGTGGCCAGCTGATCGCAGGTCATACCAAGCCACACCAGTCGCTGGTGAGACTGAAGGCCCCTCTGGGGAGCCTGGTGGTCTCTGCAGACAGTCCCCCAGGGAAGCCCTGGACCACCTCTGCCACCTCCCCTGGCCTTTCCTGAGTCTGGCGTTTGACTCTGTGCGCCCCTCAGCGCCCGGGGGGGCCCACCCCTTCCCTGGCCGCCCCGGCTCCCGGCGGCCTGCTCACCCCGCAGCCGAGGCCCCGGCGTTGTCCCCGCTCTGCAGCCCTTCCCCTGCTGTCTTCGCTGTCTCGGGGACGGCGGCCGCCCGGGGCTGGGCTGGGGGGCTGTCCAGCCTGCAGGGTGGACCGAGGGAGGGAAGCCCACTGTCCACTCTTGGCCTGGAGAAGTGGAAACAGAGCTGTGGGGACGTGGGGGGTCGGACCCGCAACCCCGGGACGTCGGTGTGCAGCCACCCCCGAGCTCTCTTCGGGGGGGCGGGGAGGCGGTGTGGGGACCTCAGGCAGCTGCTCCCGCCTGGGGTTTGGGAGGCACAGCCCTGCGCGGCAGTGGCGGGTTGGGGGGGCGACGCTGCCCTAGGGGTTTCCCTGGGGGCCTCTTCTTGTTTTCCGTTGTGAGATCAGCTCCGTGGGGACAGCGTTCGCATGCACGGAGGAGGTTGCCTGCGCTTTCTCATCAGGCCCGGGGCCTGCCCCTCCCGAGCTGGGGCCTCCGTGGCCTGGTCTCAGGCACCGACCCCCGCCGGCCCCTGGCCCCGCCTCCCGCCGGCCGAGAGCTTGGGCCTCAGGGGTCGCGGCTGTGATGGTTCTTTGGCGGCCTGGGGTGGGGGGTGGCGGAGGGAGCCTGCCTGGGTGCGAGGCCCTGCTGCCCGGGGCCCTCTCCTCCTGCACGTGCCTTGTGCTCCCCCTCTGGGCGGTGAGGGTGCCCACGGCCCGCCCAGGACGCGGTCCCGACAGGGCCGTGCTCCGCCCCCTTCCTGGGCCCTGCTGCCCTGGCGCATGGGGCGGGGCCCACACTCTGCCCCCCAGGTCAGGCCTGGGACACTGTCTTTCCTGAGCTCAGCAGGACTGTGGGTGTGGAGGGGACACCCAGGCTGAGCCGCCCGCGGTGCCACCCTCTGCTCTCGCCAGGGGCCGGGTGGCCCCCTTAGGACCCCTGCACGCCTGGAGCCACGCCGTCCGGACTGGCCTCTTGCGGCCTCCGTGGGCCCCTCCCCGGCTGCCCGGCCGCCCGGGGGCCCGGCCAGGGCCTGCCCTCAGCGCCTGTGCCTCCGACAGGCCTCTGCCGGGGCGCACGGCCCTCCCCGGCGGGACCGGAACCAGCCCTCCTCCTCGGCACACCTGGCCCCGCTCCCCACTCGGCCCTCTGCCCTCCCACCCCGGACCCCGAGCCTGCAGACCCTTCTCTCTGGGCTCCAGCCCGGCCCCCACCACCTGCCCGCCGGCCCCCAGCCACCCGACGTGGGCGCAGCCTGCGGGGTCTCTGCCAACGGTGGACCCGCAGGAGGGGTCCCTGGCCGGCCCCGGGCCCCCGTCCCTGCCTGCAGCCGCCAGACCAAGGGCCCCATTTGCTCACTTCACCCCGCGGCGGTGTGTCGCGAGCCCCCTTGTGCGGACTCCCGGCCCCGTCCCTGCCCCGCTCCCTGGGGGAACCGCGGCGCCGGCCCCTGTGCCGCTGACCTGCCTCCCTCGGCGCAGAGCTCTGCTTGCCGCCCACGGGCTGCCGGGCTCCCCGCCCTCCGACCCCACCCCGCCCCTCCACGCGGCTGCCCCGCGGCCCCCCTTCCCGCCTTTCCACGCGCCTTGGCCGCCGTGGGGCGTCCGCGTCCCGGGCCCGGCCCCCAGCGATGCCTGCGAACGGCGGGGCGACCCGGCTTCTCTGCCCAGGCCTGCCGGGCCGATCCCGGCTGCCCCGCCCCGTGAGGTGGCGGCCCCCGCGGAGGGTGGCCTCCTGGCCGCAGAGGGGGCAGGGGTCCTGCCTGGACCCTTGGTCCAGCCGCCACCCAGGTGTGTCGTGGCATCGGTGATGACGTCACCAGAGACCCATGACATCGTGACACGCCACAGTCGAGGTGCCAGTACAGGTGCTGCATTGATTAGCGCCCCCCGCCGGGGAGCGATCAGTTCTCACTGAGCTCCGGCGGATCCCTGTGCCCTGACGGGGCCTCATCCCCCTGCCCCCTTGGGTGGCCCCTGTCGGGGAGCCTGACAGCGGCCGGGAGGTGGGGCCCCTGTCCAGTGCGTGGCGACATGCCCATCTCCGGGGCCCTGCTGGGGGCGGTGGTCCTGGGCAGGCTCCCCGCTGGCAGGGGGCCCGGCGACTCAGCTGGGAGGGACCCCTCGACTGTGGGGCTCCCCGGCCACTCTGGGGCCCTGAACCCGGCCGGGAGAGAGGAGGCCCCTCAGGCCCGGCTTCCCACCCAGCCTCGGGAGGCCTCCGCCGGCTCCTGCCCCGCCTCCCGGGGGGCCGGCACCCTGGCCAGTGCCCCCGTCCCCTGTGCCTAGTGATGGAGCAACGCCCCTTGGGCTCATCTCATCTCTGTGCCGGTTCTGCTTTCAGGGGATCGCGTGGGCGGGGGGCGGGGGATGGGATCAGGCAGGCCCGAGGCCTCTGGACCCCGTCCAGGCAGAGGTGCGGCGTGGGCGGCTGCCGGGTGCGGCAGCTTTGGTTCTGGCCCCCGGAGCGCAGCTGCCCTCAGGCGGGGCTGGGCCGCCAGGGCCTCCGTTGGGGCTGGCCGACCGGCCGGCCTCGCTGTCCCTTGGCCAAGAGGCAGAGGCTCAGCGGGTGGGGGAGGCTGCAGGTCACCCCAGAACTCAGGCTGCTCAGGCGAGGCGACAGTTTGGAAGGGGTTCAGGGGACAGGCCTGGGCCCTGTCAAGCCTCCGTCCGGTGTCCTGGAAAGATCTCACGTTTGAGAGCCTTTCCTTAAACAGCGACGGAAGCCTCATTTCACCGTCGGTTGCGGGCCGGCCGGCTCGCGGCTCCGCGGCTTCTGCCAAGCACGCGCGGGCCCTTCCCCGTGCGTCTTGTGGGGACCGGTCGTTGTGTCCCCGGTCACGGGGTTCTGGCTTTGGTTCGTGCCGTGCGTTCCCGGGGGCTGTGCAAGGAGGTGCGGGGAAAGGTCAATAAACGGCATAACACCGGGCTGCGTGCCCCCGGGCGTGTCTGGCCTCCGTGCGGGGCAGCGGGTGGCAGCCGGGGCCCGGTTGTCCCTTCCAGGTCCCTGGGGGCAGCCAGGCTGGGCGGCCGGGCTCTGGGAGCCGTGTCCTCCTTGCAGGACGCTGAGCCCTGCGCGCGGGCCTTCCCTTCCCTGCAGGCGACCACGTGGCTGGTGAGAAGGCGTCCTGGGCCAGAGGGGCCGGGGCACCATTCCCGAGGCCTGGCCCCTCCCAGGGCCTCGGCCTCCCCGCCTGTGAGCAGAGTCCTCGGGCTGATGGAGCCGTTCCTCCTGCTCCCCCGGGTCAGGGGGCACTTCCACGGCTGGCGTCACGCGTGGTAGCTGGGTCCCTCCGCAGGCTCCTGGGGCTCCACGGGGGGCCCGGCCCGGTTCCCCGGCAGCCCCCCAGGCTTCAGCCGTGGGGCAGGGAGCGCGGGCTCAGCCAGGTGCCGGGCTGGTGGATCCACGGTCCCACACAGCTGGCGCCAGGCCGCTCCACGCCACGCCCGGTGCGTCCGGCCTCAGATGGATGTCCTTGCACGGCCGCGCGTGCTCACCTCTGACCCCTGCTTCCCGGGGCGCGTGCCTCGCGTCCTGCCTGGGGGCGCGGGCTGCAGGGCCGGCCCCTCCCTGACTGCCCTGTCCTGGGCTGCCCTGTCCCCTCCCCCTCTGCCTCCAGGACCCACCAGCCCTCTACACGCGGCCTGTCTGAAACCCCGGGGCCTGCTGGGCAGCTGTCCTGGCTCGGCCGGCCCGACGGCTGCCTTTTGCTCCACCACAGGCCCCCCCGGTCTTGTCCTGGGAGCCCCCTCTCCTCGGCCCCCGCCCCCCCAGACCTGGAGCCCCAGCTCTGCTGCCCAGGCCGTGTGGCCGCGCCAAGTGTCTCAGCCTCTTGGAGCTTCGGTCTGTAAAGGGGGCACGCGTGTGGCGGCCCACGCGGGAGGCGGCCCCCGTGGGGTGGGTGTCTGCGGAGGCGGGGGCCCCGGCACCCTGAGGGGACTCATCCAGCCAGCACAGGGGGCCGCGGGAGCCGGGGAGCCTGGGGGCGGTGGGTGTGGGGGCCGGACCTCAGGGCGGTGCCGGGGCCCATCCTGCCTGGCGTCTGCCGTCTCTGCTGGGCCGTGGGTGCCCCGCCCCCGTGGGGGGGAGCCTGCTGCAGCTCCCGGTCACGTGAGGACACGGAGGTCCCCCCACCCGGGGGCCGCACCCCCACCCATGGAGCCGGGCTGGAGCTGTCTGGGTGAGTCCAGCCCCCCCTGCAGCGCGCCCAGCCCCCCGAGGGGCGGGTGTCCTGCTGGAGCTGCCTCCCAGCCCCCGCCCCCGCCCGGCCAGGGCCGTCCTGCTGGTCTGGCCTTCAGCCGCCCGGGCCCCTCCAGGGGCACCGGGCCGGGGACAGGGAGGCCATTGAGGAGAGGTCTCAGTGAGCTAGCGTCTGTCCTGAGCTGCCCAGCGGCTGGCGCCTGGCACGGGCCTGGGGACAGGCACTGGTCGGTGCTGGGTGGGCTGGGCTGTGCCCCCGCTCCCCACCCGCCTCCCCCGCAGAGAAGGGAGCCTGGGTCAGTAAGGACCTTCGGACCAGAGCGGGCAGGGTGGCCTCCAGAGTCCGGGCTGGCAGGCGGGGGCTCCGGCCGCGGGGCCCAGGCCTCCCGGGCACCCAGGGAGCAGGGCCTCAGGCTGGGAGTCGGGCCCCTGGGCAGCCGGCCGGTTTCCAGGCTGGACGACTGAGCCCTGATCCCTGGCGTCTAGCCATCCGCCAGGCTGCACGTGGCCTCGGAATGTCCCCTGTCCTGGACGGCAGAGCCTGCGAGGCAGGGCCTGGCCCAGCTGCCTGGGGTCCCTTCCTGGACCTGTTGTCAACTCCGGAAGCAGTGGCTGCTCGGGGTCACGGCCGGCATGCTCTGTTTGTGGAGCGGGCGCGGCGGAGGGGGCCGCGGGCCTGGGGTCCGGGCCTTCCTCCAGGCCCGGTGTGCCCCCCGGTGCCTGCCCGTGGTGCCGGGGCCCCCTCTCTACAGATGGGGTGACGGGGCCCAGAGAGGACCACCTCACAGCCCTGTGAGACGGGGCTCCTCTGCTTCGGGGAGGGGACCCCTCCCAGCCCTCCTTTGGCAGCCTCGCTGGGGTCCGGCCAGCCCTGCCCAGCCCCGGGGGGGCCTGGCGGGCCTGGGCTGGGGGCAGCGTCTCCTGGTGGAGCCGATGGGGTGGCTTGTCCCCATGAAAGTCCCTCGGGGTCCCCAGCGCAGGGAAAATGTAAGGATTACTTAAAGCGACTTGGAGGTCCCAGAAACGCCATGAAGAATGGGAAGTCATTTTCGGCGGGGGGCTCCCTAAAACCCGGGCGGCGTGACAGGCAGGCGGTGCGCGACGCTAAATTGAATCAAATTAAGAAAAACATTTTCCAAGTGCAAGTAAAATATCTGTTCAATTAGCCCATAAAGAAGAAATTAAAAGTAATATTTTGCAGTAGGGTAATTACTGTCTTTTGAAGGTGCTGGGCCCGGCGGGGGGGTGGGTGATGGGCGGGGGCCGGGCCTTCAGGACCTCACGCTGCTGCAGCCAGGCCTCTGGGAGCCGGTGGGGCGCCCTTGGGCCTCCCCAGTGGGCGGGGCCCTCAGTCGCACTGGGGTTCCCTGGGGCCCCCTGCGGTCACACAGGCAGGCCCTCCTCTCGGGCCTCGGCTGCAACCCGTGCGTGTGGCCGGAGGCAAAGGCGGCAGGGGGCTCCTGGCGGGGGGTGCGTCGGAGTGGGGCCCCCTGCAGCCGGCGGAGCAGGGCCCAGGTCCCGGGGGCTGTTTGGGGGAAGGGCTGGTGGGAGGGGGGCCGGGGGCACAGCCGCCCCGGCTGTGGCTCCCGGAGCAGGTGACCAGGCAGCCCCGGCTTGCCGGCTTCTCGGCTCTGATGGGGGTGCTCACCCCCAGGGACTTGGAGGAGCAGCAGTGCCCCGGGCTGGGCGGCCGGCCGCCTCCCCGACAGCTGCTGCCGGGATTCCTGAGGGCCCGGCTGGGGGTGCTGCCTGGCTTCCTGTCCCTCCCCGCCGCCCCCCGCGCCCGGCCGGCCACGCTGGGTGCTGGGGTCCGGTGCCTGCGCGTGTCGGCCCCCTTCCTGCCGCCTCCCGTGCAGCCCGCGGGGGGCGGGGCGCCCCGGTGTCCTGAGGCCCCTCCGACGGGCGGGCAGAGGCCCCGGCTCAGGGGGCTGCTGGGCCGGGCTGGCCTCTCACGCAGGGCGATGGCTCCTGCAGGCACTTCCTGCCCCTCGCCGCCCGGCCGCCGTGCGCGGCCTCCTGCTACGTGGAAAAACCGGCGTAATCAGAGCTGGGACCTGGAAAACTCGGAGGGGAGGGACACCCGGGGGCGGGTGTCCGGATTCCGTCTGCGCCCGCGGGCCACCCCCGAGGGGGGTTCCGGAGATTTCCCAGGGCCTGCCCTCTGCGGGGCTGCGGGGGAGGGGCGGGGCGCTGCCCGGGGCCAGGCCCCGCCCCAGCGGCGAGGCTCGGGGCCCTGCAGTGCCGGCCTTCCCGCGTGGCCCGTGCCTGGCGGCCGGCCGTCGTGGGCCGGGGTGGCCCTTGCCTCTGACCTGGCCTGTCTGCCGTGTGCGGGGACGGGGCCGTGCCGCACGCGGCCTGGAGCGACGGGCGGGCATGGGCGCAGGGGGTGCCTGCTCGCACTGGGCCCGCGGTGTCCCCTCGCCGCGCGGCCGCCCTGCCACAGCTCCCACGCGCTTGAGCCTCCGTGGGCGTCTGTGGACTCCGGGCGAGCCGCCCCCCCGCCAGGCTCGGGGCTCCTGGGTGGGTGCGTGAGACCCGCCCCATCGTCTGAGAGGGGTTGTGTTTGGGGTTTGGGGCCCCCAGTCCCTTGGTGGTCGGCAGAGCCGTGGGCCCCGGCAGACCAGGCCCGGGTGGGGTGTCCAGTGGCGGGCAGGCGGCAGCAGCTGGGCAGGCAGGCAGGGAGGGAGGGCGGGAGGCCCCGGCCCGGGCCCCGCTCGCGTGCGGCAGGTTCAGGCTGGGGGTGGGGAGGCGTGGGCCAGCCGGGCGGCCAGCTGGCTGAAGCAGAGACGCAGGCCTGCATGTGGGGTCTGCACTGGTGGGGGGCTGCTGGGAGAGCCCTGGGTGGTCACGGCCGTAGCCGGGCGGGCCGATGCTCCGCCGAGGGGCTGCTGCGGCTGGGAGCTGACCCCTGCAGGGCCGTCCTGGCTGGTGGCGGGGCAGAGCTGGGCCGTGCTGGGCGGACAGTACAGGGACAGGGATGGGCCCTCCGGGGAGGCTCCTCCTCCTCCCAGAGCTGCCCCTTCCTCCAGGAAGCCCTCCCTGCCCTCAGGGCTCCCCTGGCTCCTAAACCCAGCTCTCTCTGGACAGCAGGCTCACGGGCCGGCAGCCTGTGTGTGCGCTGCAGGGTGGGGCGCTGGGCCCCAGGGTCAGCCGCCCGTCCACGCGGCCCCGGGCCTGCCCGGTCCCTGACGGCAGGACCTCGCGGAGGCAGGGAGGGCCGCCTCAGCCGGGGCTGAACGCGCTTTCCACCAGCCCCTGGGTGCCGCGCGCCCGCCACCTGCGGCTTTGGTGTCGGGCAGCACGCGGTGTCTCGTCACCCCGAGCGAGCCGCAGTGGCGGCTCTTCTGCCTGGGCCTCGCTCTTCAGCTCCGGTAGTTGCTCCCCTGCGGGGCCCGGGTGGATGGCGCCGCTCGGGGCTTATGAACCGGTCCTGGGTGGGCAGTGCAGGGGTGGGCGACGCAGGCGGGGGTCCTCGCGTCCGGGCTCTGACCGCCTCTGTCCCTTGTTCCCCCAGGACCCCTGCCTCTCCTCTCTGCTCCTGGACAAGCTCCCGGCTCCTGGCACCCTGTCGTCTTGCCGCCCGGAGGGTGGGCGCCGCTGTGATGTCTGCACCACCCACCTGAAACAGCTCGCACGGGAGGCCCTGGGGCTGCTGCAGGCGCCTGCTGGCCGGGAGGACCCCGACGCCGCCCCGGGGGGCCCCGGCCTCGCGCCTTCCAGCCCTGGCGCCTCGGCCGGCCCGAGGGAGCCGCCGGTGGTGGCGGGCCCGGCCGGGAGGCAGCCGGGCCGTGCGGGGCCAGACAGGAGGAAGGTGCCCGCTTGGCCCTCTGGGCCCAGTGTCCAGGTGTCGGTGGCGCCCGCCGGCCTGGGCGGGGCGCTGAGCACGGTCACCATCCAGGCCCAGCAGTGCCTGGAGGGCATGTGGAGCGTCTCGAGGGTCAACAGTGTCCTGCCCCCCTCGTGCCTGGTGAGTGCCCGGGGCGGGGCGGGCGCGGCCTCCTGGACACCGGCCTGGGGTGCCGGCAGCGCGTCTGAGCGGGGTCTCCTCCGGGGGTGCGCCTCCACCTCGCACCGGCCGTGCGGGGGCGGTGGACACTGGAGGAAGCCCCCAGGTGGTCCTAAGGCCCAGGTCCAGTTCTCCGGAAGGCCACCGGCGGGCCGTGCCATCTCACGCCCCCAGCACTGCGCCGGCCCCGCGCCGGCCCCGCGCCCGCCGGCCTGGTCGGGGTTTCCTAGCCCACGTGTGGCGCTGTGGCCTGGTGGGCGCCTGGCACGAGGTCAGGTCTTCGTCCTCGGGCCCCGGGGGCAGGGGTGCCTCCTGGTGAGCAGGGTCCCCGGGGGCCCCTCCCCTCTGAGCTCTCCCGCCGGCCGCGCCGACGGGGGCCACGCGTGTAGGGAGACCGGTGCCCACCCCTCCCGGCTCTCAGGAGCCCGGCCCCTCCCAGGAGAAGGGGTGCCAGGAGAGCGGGCTTCAGGGGCGCTGGGGCGCTGAGGTGGGCAAGCTGCTCAGGGGAGCTGCACAGCCTCCCGGGGGACGTGGCACTGACCTCTGAGCCCACAGGGAGAGGTCAGAGGGCGTGGGCCCGGCGGGAGGTGTGGGGGGACAGTGGAGGCCACTGGCAACCGGCAGAGGCTCCCAACGGGGGCGGGGAGCCAAGGGCCCGCGTGCAGGGTCTTGAAAGCCGGGGAAGGGGAAGGCCTCCCGCTGCGGGTGCGGGGCCCGGGGGACCTGGGGCGGCGGGGCCCTGGCCTCTCACTGGCGGCCCTGCCGGTGGCCCGCAGACCATGAAACGTGGGCACTTAAGGCCCCCTCTTCATTTTATGGGCACGTTGATTGTGTTCGGGTGGCTGGGAATGGATTTATAATTAGACAACAGTCCTGGAGATCAATAGGGAGATTATTAGAACCATAAATAGAACTCTAGGACTCAGATGAGGTAATTTCCCTTGAACCGGCGCATGGATCATTGGCCGTGGCCCTGGAACGGCGCAATAGCGCGTTCGCTCGTCGAGTGAAAGGCTTCTGGAGGGACACGCTGTGATGTCCGGCGCAGCCCCTCGGCGGCCCCCGGACACGCCGTTTCCAGGCAGGTGTCCATCGGGGCCTCGGGGCGGCCCGGCCGCGGCCTGCCTGGCCCAGGCCCCCAGGAATAGGGGCGGGACGGCCAGGGGACGCTTCCAGGGGGGCGCCAGCCCAGGCTTAGGCGCGGCGTGCGGAGGCGCGGCCCAGGGAGCAGCCCAGACGCTGCGGTGGAGCCGGCCCTGCGGCCTGCGGGGGGTCCCGCTGTGGGCCCAGCCCCGGGGGCAGCCACTCCCCATGGCATAGAGCGCGGCCCTTCCGGGGCCTCCCACCTCCCACCTCCCGGGGGACGGGTGGGCCTTCCCGGCTGCAGGGACTGCCCGGCTCTTGACCTCCAGATGGGGTCAGGTGCCCGTGGGAGCCGGGCTCTGGCCGGTGGCCCACATGGCTGCCCTGGGGGCTCTGGGCAGCGGCCGGGGGACCCCCCAGGTCCCCTGCTGGGCTGGCTCCCCTGGGACACGGTCGTGAGCCACGGCGTGTCTCCCCCACGCTGACCGGGTGCCCGTCAAGCGCTCGTTTAACAGCCAGGAGGCCTGGGGCCCAGGCTCTGGCCTCTTGACTGCCCAGGGGGCTGGAGGCAGCACGGGCCATTGGCCGGAGCGGGGCTGAGCGACGCCCGGGATGGTGACCAGGCCGGCAGGCCCGTGCCCACCCTCCCGAGTGCCCCTGGAGGCCTGGCCTGGAAGGGGAGGGCGGGGGCTTCCTGGGGGAGGTGCCAGGTGCCACTCTGACAGGCAGGGGGGCGGGGCGGGCGCTTTGCGGGGGCCCAGGGTTTCTTCAGCGGCGCAGGCCTGGGGACGTCGCTGCTGCTGCCCCCCGCCCGCGCTGCCTGCTGGCATCCCTGCTGTCCTGTGGGCGCCGGCAGGGTCCCTGGTGGGTGCCCTCCCGCCCCCGTCCTCAGGGTGGGGGATGGGCGGCGCTTTGCCCGGCTCTCTAACATGACCCGTTGCTGGCGCCCCCTCCGGGCCCCGGTTTGCCCACCGTGGAGCGGAGGCAGGACAGGGTGGCCCCCACCCCGCCCGGTGAGGCTGCGATGCCAGCAGGGCCAGGTGCCTGCAGGGGCAGGGTCTTCCTGGCTGGGCCCTGGGGGAGCCGGCGGAGCTCGGAGGGTGGCCGGCCGTGCCCCCCGGGGCCCCCGTGCCTGGCATACGCCCACTGAGCGACGCCGCCTGTGCCCCACGAAGGGTGAGGCTGCGCCTGCAAGAGGCCACCGGGCTGCCCTTCCTCCCTGGCCGCTTCCACTCCCTGCCCCCCGCCCCCCGCCCCCTCCCAGCACGAAACAGCCCGCAGGGCGGAGTCTGACCTGAGGCGCCGCCTCACTGCCCACTGTCCACTGGGGTCTGACCCACGGGGACCTCAGCCCTGGAGGCTCCCTAGGAAATGGGTTGGCGTGCGGTCACCCGCCCCCGCTGTGGGCGCCCCGTGAGACCAGGGGCGTGGCCCCCAGGCGCCCCGCCAGGCAGGCCCCCAGGCCGGTGCCTCACGCTCCCCTCTCGCTTCTCCTTCGGTGCTGCCCCGGCACCTCCGTCGCGCTGTTTGTTCGGCCGCCGGACCTCTGCGCCCCCCACCCCAGCCTTCTGTCCAGGGCGCCTGTCTTGGTCGCCCCCTCCCACTGTCCCCTCCCGCCCCTTGGGCCTGCTGCTGGCAGGAGTCTGCACGGCCGTCCCCGTGGTGGAGCCGCGTCTGGGCAGCTCGGGGGACGGCGGAGCCCAGGCGCGCGGGGCACCCAGGACAGGTCCGTGTGGGGCTCGGCCACGGGGGAGGGGTGGGGCCCAGCAGTGATGCCACGGTCAGGTCCCCCTGCCGCGCTCTGCCCGGCGGGCAGCGGGGAGCGTCGTGGGGAGCACATGCTGGGCGGTGAAAAGGGAACTCCCTTCCGGGCCTTGCTGCCCAGGGGCTGACCCTGCTTCCTGAAGGTTCCCTGTGAGCTGTGCCCGGCTCCACTCCCGCGGCCCCTTTCCCTCCGTGTGGGGCCTGCCTCCCGGCCGCCACTGGGTCTGCCTCAGGTCTGCGCCCCGGAGGGCAGGTCCAGGGGACACCTGTGAGTGCCAGGCACAGGCTCCGAGAAAGCGGGTGGAAGGGAGGCCGAGGGGTGAGGGGTTGAGCACGAGACAGGCCGGGGGAGCTGAGAGGGGCCGGAGGCGGGAGGCCGCGGGGCGCCTGGAGGAGGGAGGGCGGGGCCCTGGGGGCCAGGCGGGGGTGCTCGGCTCCCGTCCAGCCCAAGTTGTGGGGGGCTCTCTGTGAACTTCCTTTGCAGCCATGTTTTCTCTGGGCTCCAGCAGGGGTTTGGCAGCTGATGCGGACCCCAGGCTGGGACCCTCCACCCTGGTGAGGGGTGGTGCTGCCCTGAGGTGGCAGGACCTCCTTCCAGAACGTTCCGCCTGGGGCCTGAGTGTCTCATTCTGCTGAAGTGCCCCGGATCCCTGGCTGTGTCACTGGGCCCTCCCGGGTGTGGCTGCCACCTGAGCTCCTCGCCCACAGGGTCCCTCTTGGTCCTCAGGGGGACCCCTGGGCGGTGGTGGTCCCCGGCGGCTGGGGCCGGGCCGTGGTGCCCGGGGCTCCTGGAAAGCTGGGCGCAGGGCCTTCGGGGTGGGCGCTGGGCTGGGGGCGGCCCGGCCGAGGCCTGGGGTCACGGGCGCGGACTGTCCTGCGCGGCGGCCAGCCTCCAGCTCGCTGGCGCCGGCCGGAGCGCGTAATCACATTTGCGCTTCCTTACGAGGCTGTCCTCCTCTCTGGGATTTATTTTAGCTAATTAGTGGGAAACGCCAGGGTCGTGTTTCAGACACGGGAACGTCATCCATTGTCGTACGCGGGGCAGTTAGTGCTCGTGACAAGTATTTATGGTGGTTTCTTCCCTAATTACGCCTCTGGTTCTCCCAGGGGGCAGCCCAGGCATCAGGGGCGCGGGGTCCCTGTCCATCTGTCCTGACCGCTGCGGCTGCGGCGGTTCTGAGGCTGGGCGGGGGAGGGGAAGCAGAGTCAGGCCCTGGGCCGGCACCCCCTCCCCCGGGCGGAGCACCCACGCCCCGAGCCGGCTCCTGTGTGCACGGGCCGGGCGCGCGCTGGGCTGGGCTGGGCTGGGGGCGCCTGCCTGTCCCTCACGCGGCTCCCTCCTTCCCTGCAGGCAGAAGCGGCGGTGGCCGCGGTGGCGGTGGCAGACACGGTCCGGGAAGGCCCTCCCGCCGTGGGCCCTGATGGCGTGTCGAAGATGTGGGGCCGCGGCGGGGCCTGCACGGCGGCCCTGGTCTCCCCGGCCCCGGGCCCTCCGGCCGGGGGCCCCGCAGGCCCCTCGGCTGCAGCCTCCTTCTTCATCAGGTACGTCCCCCGGCCTGCGCGCGGCTGGCGCCTGGCTCGGGGCTGCACGGCGGGGGCGTCTGCGGGGCGCCCGCTGACGCCAGGATCCAGCCGAGGCCGCGCCCCCAGAGGGGGCTGCAGCCGCGAGACTGGGTTCGAGCCAGGCCTCTGCCTGTCCCCAGCTGTGTGGCCGTGGGCAGGTCTCGGAACTGCTCTGCGCCCGGTTTCCTCGCCGCTCGGACAGCGCTCTCTCGGGAATCGCTGTGCGGCCCGGGAGCAGGCCGGACGGCGTGAGGCGGCTCCGCCGGGGCGTCCTGGGCCTGCGCCGCTGAGACCACGCACAGAGGGAGGCTGACAGAGGCCTCGGGCAGCGCCCCTGCGGCCGGGGGTGGGGTGGGGAGGGACGGGCCCGAGGACAGGCAGCGCCCAGGCCTGCCCTCCCCGTTCCGCCCGAGCGGGTGCCGGCCCCTTCCTCAGCCGGCCGGGCTCACGCTGTCAGGCCGGGCTCCGCAGCCGGCCAGGAGCCGAGCGGGTCCCGGCCCCAGGCCCGGCCTCTGGTGTGGGGGTGACCGCAGCCCAGGGCGTCTGGCTGCGGCCCTGCTGGCCCCGGGTCCTGGGGAGGTCAGCTGGGGTGCTCTTTCCGGGGGTGGCCGTGGGAGCCGGGGCGTGGAGCCGCAGGGCCGCGTCCCCCCGGAGGCTCGCGGGGCGGCGTGGCAGCAAGGAGCCGTGGGGGCGGCCCCTCTCGGGCCGCTGTCCCGTTAGCAGCCCGCGGCGCTGGCAGGCTTGTCCACGGGTAGGGCCTGGCGGCAGGACTGGCGCCTTACGGGGTCCGGCGCCTCGTGGCCTGACTGGGCAGCCGGTGGGGTGTGTGGGGGGTGCTGTCGGGCTGGTGAGCAGGCGCGGGTGGGGCCTGCTGCCCCGATTGGGCGCTGAGGTTCAGGCAGGGACCCTCTGGTTGCGGGGCCGGTGGAGGGCCTGCCTGGGGGGGCTTAGGAGCCCGGTGTCGGGGGAGGGGGGAGGCACAGACCCAGCAGCTGAGAACGTCCCTCCCGGCTCGCTTCTGCCCGGCCGTGGGCAGCGGCTCTGTCGGGCCACGGTTGCTGGACTGTCCACGCGGGAGACCCTCTGAAGAGGCAGCCGGCCAGCCCCGGCGGCCCCAGGGTCTGGGGGCTACGCTGGCTCACAGCAGCCCCGTGGCCCCACAAGGCGGGCAGGCTGCCTTTTGTCTGGAGCCCCGCAAGGCTGCCGCTGGCCTTGGGGTGTTGCCATAGAAACGGGCACCCAGGCCAGGCTGGGAGGCAGGCTTTCCGGGTGTCCGCCGGGAGGGCGGTGCTGGCTGCTGTCGCTTCCAGCCTCTGGACGCCCCAGACTGTGGCAGCCTCTAGAAGGCTGTGGGCCCAGAGCGGGCTGGCGCCCCGGCCAGGACTGCCGTGTGTCCCCAGCTCCTGCCTGAGTTGGGCCCGAGACCTGCTGCCCTGTGCGGCTGTGGTGCCCTGCACCGACGGGCGAAATGGGGTGCCCTGCAGCTGCGCCCCTCCCTAGACTTGTGGGGGCTGCCGCTCAGAGAGGGAGGGGCCTGTCCAGAGCCCCCAGGAGGTGTTGAGCTGCGGGGCCCCGCCCCGAGGGTCCCGAGGTGCCCCCTGAGCTGTGCTCCGTGGCCCCGGGCCTGGGGGGCAGAGTGGACCCAGCCCGGGCCACGCCCTGGCCCCTGCGGGTTTCCGGCCGGTGGGGGAGGTGTCCGTGGCGGTGGCCTCTGGCTGCAGGCGGAGCCTGCGGCGCGAGTGCTGTCCGCGGTGCTGAGTGCCAGGAGGTGGGCTTTGAGGGCTGAGGAGGAGCCTGCCAAGGGAAGCGGAGTGGTGTGGGGTTAGGAGGGGGGGCTCCCCGCGGTCTCCGAGTTGCTCCGCTCTGTGCGAGGAGGCCGAGGACGGGAGGGCGTCCTCGCTGCCTCGGTCCCCGGGGTCTCACGGACGCCTGTGGGGCCCGGAGCCCAGGAGGGTGGTGGCGCCCTGTGTGCACCCCTCGGCTGGGCCTGGCCGGGCACATCAGCCACAGCAGCGGCTGGGAGCGCCGAGCGCCAGCCCGGAGCAGAGTCCCGGGGGGCCGGGCCTGGTGGGCCAGGCGGCCGCAATTACATTTTCTCCGGAGGTTCTGGTGGCCTTGCCTCCCCTCCCTTCCTGAGTCCTCCCTCTCCCGCCTGAGAGGCCGCCTCCTCCCAGACGCCTCTGTTGGCCTCCCTCCCGCCCGCCCTTCTGGGCCTTTCTCGGGAGGGCGGGCTCGCCTCCCTGCCTCTCAGGGCCTCGCAGGTATAGGGGGGCAGTGGTGGGGTGTCCTTGGGGCCCCAGGTCCCCGCCCTGCACCAGCGCAGCCTCGCTCAGCGGACCCCCCTCCCCGGACGTCAGGCCTGGCTCCTGGCCGAGGTCGCGAGCCGGCGTGGGCGCCCCCCAGAGGCCCGCGGGCAGCGCAGGGCAGGAGGGCTCTGCGGGGAGGCGTCCCTCTCCTGCGGGTGGGGCTGAGGGTGCCCCCGCCTCGGGTGGCACGGGAAACGCCAGCCGTGGCAAGGCCGGGTCAGGGTGCTGGGACGCGGTCCCCGGCTGCGGGGTCTGTGTCCCCGAGCGGCTCTGCGCCCCCGAGGCCCCTTTGTGCGGCCCCGGGGTGGACGAAGGAGGGCGTGCTGGGCGTGGCCAGGCCCACCGGCCTTTTCGCCCGGCTCAGCCGGAACGGTACCCGCACACGTCCGAACAGGCCCGCGTGTCTCCTCCGGGCCCTGGGGCCGGCGCCTGGGTCGCCCCCTCCTTGTTCTGGAAGAGGCAGCTTCCCTTTGCACGGAGGCTGAAATATGTCTCTTCCCGTCTCCTTGAATCACTGGCCAGGGCTGGCAAGCCCGGGAAAGGCCGCTCGGGTTGAGCTGAGGTGCCGGGGGACGGCCCGGGAGCCCGCTTGTGCGGCCACTCACTCGCGGCTGCGTCCCATCTCCCCGGGTCCAGGATCCCAGGCCTGGCTGGGCACATGTCTGTCCTCCAGAGCCCCTGGCAGGGGGCAGGGGGCCCAGCTGTGTGAACCAAAGCCTCAGGGCTGGGGGTTCCAGCCGTAGTGGGAGTCACAGGGCTTGGGAGAGCCCGGTGTGGGGCATCAGGGCAGGCTTCCTGGAGGAGGTGTGCTGTGAGGATGAGGAGGGCTCTGTGGGCAGGTCGCTCCTGCTTTTCCAAGTATTCCCTTCAGAACCAGGCACCCAGACTGGCCCGTACCCCCCACCGGCCGCATGTCTCTCCTCCTGGGACGCCCCACCCCAGCAGGCCCTGCCGCGGGCCCCTCCGCTCCTCCCGAATGGCATGGTGGGGTCTCAGTTTCTGAGAGGCCTGATGTCATCGCCACCCCTACCTGCACCCCTGCTGCTCAGAAACGAGGCCTGTGCCCCTCAAAGGCTGGGGCCCTGGAAGGCAGGGCAGTCCCGCCCCCCCAAAGGGCCCCCGCAGCCCTGCCCGGCTGTGCCGGCCGCGCTGCAGTAGCCAAGCGGCTGACGGGTCTGCCCCAGTTTCCAGGGGCCTGGGCCCCACCGCAGGGGACAGCGCCGTCCTGGCCTCGCTTCCCCAGTGACGTGCCGGTGAGTCATGCCCGGCAGGCGAGCCTGTGGGGCAGGGACCCGGGGCTGGGCGGTCAGGACAGGGTCGGGAGGAGAGGGCGCCCCGAGTCAGGTCAGACCTCGGGGCGGGGGGGCTGGTGGCAGCATTCCAGACCCCGGGGCCAGGCCGACCTCAGAGGACTCGGCCGGAGGCTGTGCAGGCAGGATCTGGGCGTGGCCAGCGCCCTCGGTGGCCTCCCGCGTGCCTACGGCGCACGGCCCTGCCCTCGGCGCTCGGCCTCTGCAGACCAGAGTCTCCAAACCACGTCCCTCCGCCTCCCCCCGCCGTGCCTGCCCCGTCGGCCAGGGGTTGGCGCGGCCCCGTGTCCCCTGAGGCGTGGAGGGGTGGGTTCAGGTTGCTTTGCCTCCCTCCACCGTGGCTGCCGGCCGACTGGCCCTGTCGACCCGGGGCTCAGCCGGCGCCCTGCAGCTCGGGGCCCTGTGCGCGGCCCGTTCCCCAAACCCCAGGACCAGGCCCCGCTGCCCCGTTCGCAGACGGGGCTCCTTGACCTTTGCAGGCCAAGGTCAGGCCCAGGCCCCTCTCCCTTCCGCAGCCGCCCGTCCCGCCCAGGTGGGTGCCCCCCCAGCCCTGCAAGCTCACCCCCCCGGGGCCCCCTGAGCAGCACCCCCGAGGGGTGGGGCCGCCTGCTGGGCGCGGATGTCCTCCCAGTCAGGCCGCAGCTCCTTCCCGGCCGGTGGGCCAGTGGGCGGGGAGCTTGGCGGATGAGACCCACCACAGCCAGGGCCCGACAGGCTCCGAGGCCGCGGCCTGGCCTCCTGGGTCCCGCCCTGCCCGCCGGCCGCCTCACGGACACACTGCATTGGGGTGCGGCCCCGCCCCGCCGCTCCCAGAGCTCGCCCTGTGCCCCGGCCGTGCTGTCCCGGCAGAGGGGGACGGCAGCGGGGACGAGCAGGGACAAGGGCTCTTCCGTGTGGGGGCCTGGGGCAGGGGCCGGGCCGACACCCGCTTGTGGCTGAGGGTGCGCCGTGTTGCCCGGCCCCTCCCGGGTGCTCGCTTGTGGGGTTCGCTCCTGGGACCGCGCCCCAGCCCCACCGGCCCGGCCCCAGGGATGCCGCCGGCACCGCTGCTCTGTTAAGCATCCGCCGTGCGTCGTCGATTACTTTTATTTTCCACAATGACACGGCGCTAGGAGGAGAGCCATCCCTGGGGTCCCTTAACAGACGCGTCCTATTAAAGAGGAGAGGAGTTAAGCACAACGCCGGCCGTAGATCTCGCCACGCGGGAGGCGGCGCCGGGCCGCGCTGCCTGGAGGGCCAGCCCTCCGTGGCCCGGGCAGGAGGGTGGCGGGGGCTTGGGGACTGGGGCTTCGGGGGAGGCGGGGGCCCGGCAAGGTGCGGGGGGATGGGGGAGCCTGGCGGGCGGGGTCTGCCCTCGAGCCCAGCTCCCCCCCGGCGCCGTCGCGGAGGCGCTTTGAATGCACGGGCTCATCAGGGCCGCTCACGAGGGCGACCACGTCAGCCCGTGTTTCGGGTAGGGAAACCAAGGCACGGAGTGACTAAGGCAGCGTGCCTGGGTCCCACAGTCAGCGCGTGGCTGGCATGTCCTGCTCCCCACAGCAGCTGCCGGTTTGGGGACCCAGGGCCAGGGGAGGCGCTCAGTGCCTGTGTGCCCCTGGCCAGGCCTGCACCGGGCAGTCGCCAGGGACCAGGCTCGGCAGCCCCGGCGCAGGGCGCCCACTCCACTGGGAGAGAAGTGAGGCTGGGGTGTGCTGCTGCCGTCGGGGTGGGACCGGTGGGTGACCGGGACGGCTGTGAGCCTCCGCCCGCCCTCCCCCCTCCCCCAGGGCCGTCCAGAAGCTCAGCCTGGCCTCCAAGCGCAAGAAGCCGCCCCCGCCGCCCCCCGCCCCGAGCCGCGGCACCTCCGCCTACCCCACGGACTTCAGCAGGGCCCTCCAGCTGTGGCCGCCCCCGGTGCCCCCATGCCTGCTCAGGGCCGGCTCCAAGGCCAAGGACAGCCCCGGCGGTGTGGGAAAGGTAGGCCCAGCCCTGATTTGGGGATGGCCCCGCGGGGGCGGGGGGGGACCAGGCAGGGGGCGTTTGAGCCGGTGCGGGGGAGGGGGTGCCGGAGACAGAAGACCCCTGTGTCCCTCCCCCAGGCGGGACGAGGGGGTCAGCGGGAGTACAGAGGGGGAGACCGCGCCCAGCTGTCGGCTCAGGGTGGCCAGGGAGCCCGGGAGGCTGGGGTGGGGTACTGGAAGTGGGGGAGGGTCCCAGGGCTGGGTCCTGGTCTCCGTGTGGGGCGGGACAGCCCGGGCTTCCTGGGACTGGGGGTTGGGGTCTGACCCCAGGACCCCCTCTGCCTCACCTCTGCTGTGGCGCCGCCCTCAGGTGGGGCTGGGGGCAGGGGCGGGACCCTCGGCTCTGTGAGGACCGGCAGATTGCAGCCACAGAGCACCATGGGAAAAGGGGGAACCGAGGCCCGTCAGGGAGAAGGGCCTTACCCAGTCGGGGGACAGCCTGCCTGGGTCCTGGCCACCCCGGCGCTGACCTCTGACCCCTGCAGCCTCTCACCGAGGCTGCGTTTCATCCTGGCCCTGAACGGGGTGCTGGTAACTGCACAGAAACTCCGGTCAGCGTCCTGCATTCACAGATCTGTGTGTGCCCGCGGGTGCAGGGCCCACGGGTGCGCTGGGCTCTCCGTGCCCACGAGGCTGCCCACGGGTGTCCCTGGCACTTGCTGAGTGGGCGCCTCGGCTCCGCCTGGGCCAGAGGGAAGAAGCGGCACCCGGGACAGAGCGGCTCGCTGGGGGAGGGGCTCTCAGCGGCTCTGGGCCTGGCTTGGGCCTGGGCCGGGTTGCCTGGCGTGTCTGCGCCGTCCGGGCTTCGCCTGCGGTCGGGTGGGCGGCCGGAGGGCTACGCGCTGCAGCACGCGCCCTGGGCGCTGGCCGGGTCTCTGGGGTGCCGGCGGGCCCCCACCCCGCCTCCTGGGGCCAGGCTCCCTCCCAGGGCGGGGCCCGCAGGCTGTCCTGTCCCCGCCCCCCCGGGCCCCTCCCTGCCTGTTATTTGCGCCAACGTCACCGTCAGAAATGCCTCCTGAAAGGCATTTAATATTGTCACAGAAAAGAAGTTAGATGACGCTCGATCCCTGACGTTAATGTGCTACTTAGGATAATCCATCATGTTGCTGTCTTAAGAAGACATCTCCACGGCGTGGGTGCCGGGCGCCCCTCCCCCGACGCTTGGAGTGGGAGCCCTTTCTCATGCAAAATACGTCTGTTCCTACCCAGCATCTATTCAGTGGGGCTTTGTAATATCTGAGCACTTACAGCGGAGACTTTGCCACGATTGTCTCGTTCGGAGACACTGTCTGCCGCAGCAGCCGGTCCTCGCAGACAATGGCCTGTGCAGTGAGCGGCCGGGCGCGTGGGGCAGGCTGGCCTGAGACCCGCCGCGGCCCACTCTGCCCCTGCCCACCCACAGCGGCTCCTCGGGGGCCCTCCCTGCCAGGAATTCTGACATCTCTTCTGCAGAACCCATTTGGCTCCTGACGTGGCCGGTAGTTCACGCTGAAAAAAATTGCCCCAAATGACCAGGCAGCGCACACGCCGTGAGCTTGGCAACAGCGTTTGGAAATGAAATAGTTTTGTTCGGCCGTCAGGGAATAAAAGAATCGATTCCGGGCTAATGGAGCCGAGGGGCGGGGGCCCGCTGCGTCCCCGAGGGCCGGACACGCTGCCGCCCCGCGGGTTTTGCGCCTCTGTGGGCCGCTCCCGGAAGGGGCAGGCGTGCCCTGGTGCGAACTGCCCTGGGGAGCCAATTCCACGCCGCTCCGTACCCGCCACTCACAGTTGCGTCTGTGAGAAGCATGGGCTCTGAGTCGGAATTCGGTTTACACCGTCAGGGGAAACCCGAGCTGGGGGACAGGGCCCGCTGCCTGTTCCTGGGGGGCGGCGGGGGGCCTCGTTCGGGGGGGCGGCCCTGGGCTGCACAGCAGAGGCACAGTCTCGGGGTGTCCTGGTGGGGGCGGGGGGTGTCCTGGTTCCCAGCTGCCGCCCCCAGCCTCCTGACCCCTTGAGGCAGCAGGGCTGGATCAGCCTCCAGGAAGCTGCGTCTCGTGCGGTGCGGGGCAGGGGACGCGTTCGTGCGTCTCTTTCTCTTTTGTGGAAGTAAGAGGGGAGGTGGCCTGGTCACCCACCGGCTGAGCTCAGACCCCCTTCCTCCTGCCCATCTCTGTCCGCTCCACCCCTGCACTCCCCCTGGCCTTGGCCCCGTCCTGGCCTCCCAGCCCCTCCCTGACCTGACCTGCCCCATGGGAGGCCCCAGGATCCTCCTCTCAGGCATGGCTCCCATCGTCTCTTCCGCCCCAGCCTGTCCTGGCTTCCTGTAGCCAGGACCCTGCCAGTTCTTGGGATGTCTCTCCGGGGGCATCAGGCCCTGGGCCTGGTCCCCTCGGGGGCATCTGTTTCCAGGGCTCCTCCCACCTCCCCTCCGCCTGGCTGCAGTGGCAGCTGTGCCGCTGGGGGCCCTGGGGGCCCTGGGGGCCCTGAGCGCCCCTCTGCCAGCGGGCCCCGATCCCTTCTCCAGCCCGGCCGCGCTTAGTTCCCTGAGCTGGAGGGCCCGGGGGCCGGGTGGGGGGCGGGCGGCCCCTCCTCCCCATCGGGTGGAGCACAGGGCGTGGGCCCAAGGAGGGCTCTGCTGGGCGGGGCGCCTCTTTCTGGGGGGCCCTGCTGCGCCCTCTGTGGGCCTCTCCACTCCTCCCCTGCCCTCAGATTTGGGGCTTGTGGTTTCCGGAGGCCACTCTTGGGCTGGGTGACGCCGGCAGCACCGTCGACCTCTGAGAGCGCGTTTCCTATGGGCTGCGGACCTGGGGGCAGGGGTGGCCGTGTGGCTGCACCCCCCCGCCCCGCAGGAAGCTGGCAGACCTGGGAATGCTCTGGAATATTCTGTGCCTCTCCAGTCACCCAGTTCTGCATCAGAGCCAGTGGGAGGGTGTGGAGCAGCCCCACGAGGAGGGCAGGCGGGGACGCTCGGTGCAGTCCCTGCACTTCTTTTGTCTCCCTGCCCGTGAGGCGCCCAGAGCCCGCCGCCGCCCCCCACACCGGCCGCCCCGTCCCTGCCGCCCTGCCCGGACCCGGCTGGCCCGCTGCCCTGTCCAGTGCCGACTTGCCCTGCACTGGCTGCCTGTCCTCTCGGCTCGCCGTCGGCCGGCCCCGCTGACCTCATAGGGGACCCGCTCTGGCCTGGAGCAGGGGCGCGGGCGGCCGCATTCCTTCGGCAGGACGCCCGTGCGAGGCCTGGCCTGCTGCCCCGGCCCCCGCTCAGGGCCCCCGCTGCCCTGTCATTAGTGGCCGGCTGCTCAGGTGCCCGCTCCTGCCCGCCTCCTCAGGTGAAGGTTATGCTGCGGGTCTGGCCCGCCCAGGGCGCCCAGCGCTGCGCCGAGGCCGCGTCCTTCCTGAAGGTGGACCCACGGAAGAAGCAGGTGACCCTCTATGACCCGGCCGCCGGGCCCCCGGGCAGCGCAGGTTCCCGGCGCGCCGCCACTGCCGCGGTCCCTAAGATGTTTGCCTTCGATGCTGTCTTCCCCCAGGACTCGGAGCAGGTGAGGGTGTCCCGCCTTCCTCACCCCCTGTCCCCGCCCCTGGGGGGCTCCTGCTGGCCTGGCTCGCAGGCCCCGTTTCGGGGGCAGGAGCTTTCCGCCCTGGGAGGCGCCTTAGCTCTGGGAAGGCTCTCTGCACCCTGCGCGTGCTGGGACCACGCGTGTGCTGGGCTCTGAGTCCCGGCACTGTCCACAACGGCCGTGTGACATGTGTGTGCACGGTGTGTGCTCGTTGGCATGTGCCTGGCTGGTTCGTGTGTGTGTTGCACATCTGTGCTCTGCCAGGGCGTGTCCTGTGTGTGCATAGAGATCTCTGTGTTCTCGGTCCTGGCCACCTTGTGAACCGGCCTGGCGACCCCGCCTGACCCTGCCGCCTGCCTGGCTCTGTCCCTCCCCCAGGCCGAGGTCTGCTCGGGGACGGTGGCCGACGTGCTCCAGTCAGTGGTCAGTGGGGCTGACGGCTGCATTTTCTCCTTCGGCCACACGAGCCTCGGTGAGTGTCCCCGTGATCTGCTCTGCGGTCCTTGGGCCCGTGTCCGGGTGGGGGGCCCTGGGCCTGTCCCTCCCGGGCAGTGGGAGGGAAGCCGGAGCTCTGCAGGCCCGGAAGTCAGGGCCTTGGGGCAGGTCAGAGGGGGCCCCTGGGGCTCAGCGGCCCCCGGTTGGCCCCGAGAGCCCCCGGCGGGGCCAGAGAGGCGGCCGCCGGGGCAGCCACGTGGAGGGCCCGTCGCGCTGGGCGTGGGGGCCCTGACTGCCCCCGTGGCCCGCAGGCAAGTCTTACACCATGATCGGGGAGGACAGCTCACCCCGGAGCCTGGGCGTTGTCCCCTGCGCCATCTCCTGGCTCTTCAGGCTCATCGGCGAGCACAAGGAGAGGGCTGGCACCCGCTTCTCCGTGCGCGTCTCCGCCGCGGAGGTGTGCGGCCGGGACCCGGGCCTGCGGGACCTGCTGGCCGAGGTGGCCGCCGCCAGCCTCCAGGACGCCCAGTCTCCGGGCGTGTACCTGCGGGAGGACCCCGTCTGTGGGGCGCAGGTATGCCAACACCTCTGCCGCCACATGGGGCGGGGGGCGGGGGGCACAGAGCCGGGGCTGGCGTGGTGGGGCCGCGAGGGCGGCTGGGGGGCGGGCGGGGCTGCGCCTGGGCCGAGCCTCTGAGGCGCTGTTTCCCCCGCCGGCCCAGCTCCAGAATCAGAGCGAGCTGCGGGCACCCACGGCCGAGAAGGCGGCCTTCTACCTGGACGCGGCGCTGGCGGCCCGCAGCGCCGGCCGGGCCGGCTGCCCCGAGGACGCCCGGAGCAGCTCCCACATGCTCTTCACGCTGCACATCTACCAGTACCGCGTGGAGAAGAGCGGCCACGGGGGAAGTAGGTGTCCGCTCGGGGCCGGGCTCGGAGGCGGGGCCGCGGCCTCGGGCTGTGCCTCACCGCCTGCCTGGCCGTTTCAGTGTCCGGAGGCCGCAGCCGCCTGCACCTCATCGACCTGGGCAGCTGTGAGGGGGCGCCGGGCAGGGGCGGGGGCGGCCCGCCGGACCTGTCCCTCTCGGCCGTGGGCAGCATCATTTTGGCCCTGGTTGGTGGAGCCAAGCACGTGCCCTACAGGTGAGCGGTGGGCCCCTCGGTGGGCGCTGGCCGGGTGGTCTCGGCGGCTGGCCGGGGGCAGGTCGGACGGGTCCAGTGTGTCGGGACCGGAGCTCTCGGTTCTGTGTGTCCCCGCCACCTGCCGGGGCCTCGCTCCCCAAGGCCTGGCGGGGTCCCAGGGCCCCAGGGACCAAGCTGGCTGGCAGACATGGGCCTGGCCGGGGGAGGGGCTGCTCCGCCTCCTGCCCCGACCGCATCCCCCGCTGGCCCCCAGGGACCACCGGCTCGCCCTGCTGCTGCGAGAGGCCCTGGCCACCAGCACCGGCCACACCACCATGATCGCCCACGTCTCTGACGCGCCGGCCCGCCACGCCGAGACCCTCAGCACCGCACAGCTGGCTGCCCGCGTCCACCGCCTGCGCAGGAAGAAGGTCAAGGTTGGTTCCCTGCTCTGCCTGCCCCTCCCCACTGGGGGCCCGGGCCTTGTGTGCTCCCAGGGCCTCTGCCCTGCGCCCCCCGGCCCTGCCCGGAGGAGGCAGGGGCAGGGGGCCGTGCCCAAGGCCACTTGCTGTCCCAGCGGGCCAGGGGGGACCACGGGGAGCCTTTTGGCTGCCTGGCCCAAGGGGAGGTGGTGGGTGGGTCAGGGCGGCCGGCTGGGACCCCTGGGCCCTCACTGCTCCCGTGGAAGTTGCTGAGCGGACCCTGTCCTGCTTTGTGCCGAAGACCTTTCGTTCCGTCCCAGCGCTCGGTGGGACGAGGCTCCGGCTGCCGCTGGCAGGCCCTTCACTGCAGTGCTGTGTGCGGCCGAGGGCGCAGGGCAGAGGGGTGCCAGGCGCTCAACCCCGTTGCTCTGCCCCCAGGGTGCCTCCAGCTCCTCGGGTGGGGACAGCTCCTGTGAGGAAGGCCGCGCCCGGCGCGCCCCGGCCCTGCCCCCCTTCCATGCCCGCTGCGGGGCCCCCGACCCTGGCCGCCCGGCCCCTGGCTCACCCTGCGACCCCGACTACTCGTCCAGCAGCGAGCAGTCCTGCGACACGGTCATCTATGTGGGGCCCGGCGGGGCGGCGCTGTCCGACCGCGAGCTCACGGACAACGAGGGCCCGCCGGACTTCGTGCCCATCATCCCTGCGCTGAGCCGCCGCCGGCCGTCCGGGGGCCCACGGGACGCCGACCACTTCCGCTGCAGCACCTTCGCAGAGCTGCAGGAGCGGCTGGAGTGCATCGACGGCAGCGAAGGCCCCGCGGGGGCCCCGGCCAGCCCGGCCCGCGGCGGCAGGCAGCCCTTGCTGCCCGAGGCTGCGGCCCCCAGGACAGCCACGGACACCCCGCCGGCTGCTGGCGCACCTCACGGCAGCCCCGGCCCAGACGCGTACCGGGGCGCCCCCGAGCCGGACGGCAGCACCAGGCCTGAGCAGCTCGTGCCTGACAGGGCCACGGGTGGCGGAGGCAGGAGGCCGCTGGGGCAGCCGGAAGCGGGCGGAGCCTCAGCTGAGCCCGAGGGCGGGGGTGCCGAGGGCGTGGTCCGGACACCCCCGGTGGGGATGAGCGGGCAGGGGGGCTGCCCCCGGCCGCCGGCGAGGGGCCGCCTGGAACGGGGCCTGCTGACCACCACGGTGACGCTGCAGCAGCCCGTGGAGCTGAATGGCGAGGACGAGCTGGTGTTCACGGTGGTGGAGGAGCTGGCCCTCGGGGGGCGCCCCGCCAGCCTGGCCAGCTTCGGCAGCGACTGCTCGCTGCAGGCCCTGGCCTCGGGGTCGCGGCCGGTCAGCATCATCAGCAGCATCAACGACGAGTTCGATGCCTACACCGCGCAGGCCCCCGGCTCCTCCATCAGCGCCTGGCTCAGCGAGGGCCGCGTCGGCACGGCCGACAGCTGCGGCCCCACACCGCAGCCGTGCTCGCGGGCCAGCCCGGACCCTTTCAGCCCCGGCTCCCCCGCCGGGCCCGCCCCTCTGGGCCCCCCGATCCCGGGCAGCTCCCCGGAGCGGGACAGACCGGGCAGTTCTGGCCCCGTGGCCGCGGCAGCTGCTGCCCAGCCTGGCAGGGAGCTCCAGCCCGTGTCCCCGTGCGCGGCAGCGCCCCCCAACACCATCCATTCCAGCCTCCCCCGGAAACCCAGGACTACCTCCACGGCCAGCCGCGCGGACTGCCCTCGCCTGGCCCTGAGCCCGCCGGGCCCCGGGGGCCTGTTCGAAGACCCCTGGCTGCTCCGGGCAGATGGACGTGGCCCACCCCTGGCGGTCCCTGCCAGCAGGCCGCCCAGCCCGGCCCCGCTGCTGGCCTGTGCCCGGAGGGTGGTGGACGGCTGTGAGGTGGCAGCCAGGGCTGTCCACGGGCCGGAGGCCGGGGCGCAGATCCCTCCGCTGCGGAGAGGGGCCACCACGCTGGGGGTGACCACATCCGCCGCGCCCTGCGGGGAGGTCGCGGCTGAGGCGGGGGCCTGCCTGGGGAGCCCGAAGGCCGCCTGCAGTGGCAAGAAGAGTGTGGCTCCCAAGGGTGCTCTGTTCCTGCGGCCCGGTGGGTCGGCGCCCCCGGCCCCGCCTGTGCGCAAGTCCAGCTTGGAGCACAAGGCCAGCCTAGCGCCCGCCCCTCTCCCGGCGGGGGGCCTGGCCCGGACCGGGGCCGTGGCCTTCTTCCCCGCCGAAGAGGAGGCCAGGCCTGGCAGCCGGGCCGACCACCCTGCCTCCAGGGCCACGTCCAGCCTGAAGGCTCGGGCTGGCAAGGCGGAGGCTGCGTCCCGGCCCGCCCCCCACGGGTCTCTGGAGCGGTGCGAGGGGCCGGCCCACGGCAGCGGCAGGGCCAGGGAAGCGGCGGGGAGGCCTGCCCGTGCCGTGCCCAGGCTGGGTGTGCCGCCCTCCAGCCCTGCCCCCGGGCCCGCTCCCGCCTGTAAGGGCAGCCCTGCGAAGGGCGTGGGGGCCCCCAAGTTCCCCGCCGGTGGGGGCAAGGGCCGCAGCGTGGCCGGCAGCGGGTCGAGGGCTCTGGGGGCTTCCGCCAAGCCGCTGGCCCCCGTGGCAGGCCGGACCCCGGGCGGCCCCGCGGCGGGTCCCCGGGTGGCCCCGCGGGCGGCCCCTGGCGTCGGCACCAAGGCCGGCCGGGGCACCATCATGGGCACCAAGCAGGCGCTGCGGGCCGCCCACTGCCGCGTGAACGAGCTGGCGGCCGGCGGGGCCCGCGGCCGAGGCAGCCCCTGCTGGGCCTCGGCCGACTCCGACAGCGGCAACGACAGTGGCGGGAACCTGGGCGAGGAGCGGCCTCCCGCGGGCCCCGCGCTGCCCTCCCCCTACAGCAAGGTGACGGCCCCTCGGCGGCCCCAGCGCTGCAGCAGCGGCCACGGCAGCGACAACAGCAGCGTGCTGAGCGGCGAGCTGCCGCCCGCCATGGGCCGCACAGCGCTCTTCTACCACAGCGGCGGCAGCAGCGGCTACGAGAGCATGATGCGCGACAGCGAGGCCACCGGCAGCGCCTCCTCCGCTCCCGACTCCCTGAGCGACAGTGGGGCCGCCTCCCCGGGCGGCCGCGCCCGCAGCCTCAAGTCCCCCAAGAAGAGGGCCACAGGTGGGCGCGGCCGCCGCGGCGCCCCAGCACCCCTTCTCCGCCCCGGAGGCGGGTCCCCGTCCCTGAGGTCTGGGGGCCGGCAAGGGCAGGCCGCGCGGTCCCCCGATGGGCCTGCGGACCTGGGAGAGGACTGGGCTGGGGGCCAGTGCCCCGCCGCCTGGACGCCCCCCACCTCCGTCCCCTGGGCCCTCCGTCTCTGGGAACCTGGGTGGGGCGCGCTCGTCCCTTGTGCTGCGTGTGGTTGGGGGACCCGACCGTGGACTGATGGGTGGGGGGGGCCGGCGGGGCCTGGGGGCCGAGCTGGGGAGTCCGTCCCGGGGCAGCAGGAGCCAGGCAGAGCAGGGAGTTAGGACGCAGTGTGGCAGGCCAGGGCAGTCGTTAGAGGCTGGGGGAGGGCGGGCCTGTGGGCCCCGGGGGCGGTGGTGGTTGGGACCCCCGCGCTCGCTCCCCCAGCAGGGCGCCGGCCGGGGCCCCTGTCACCCAGCCCCCGCCTCTGCCCCAGGTCTGCAGCGGAGACGGCTGATCCCGGCCCCGCTGCCCGACGCCGCCGCCCTGGGCCGCAAGCCCAGCCTTCCCGGGCAGTGGGTGGACCTGCCCCCGCCCCTGGGGGCCTCCCTGAAGGAGCCCTTCGAGATCAAGGTGTATGAGATCGACGACGTGGAACGCCTGCAGCGGCACCGTCCGCCGCCTCGGGAGGAGCTGGAGGTCAGGGACGGCGTGGGCGGCCGGGGGGTGTCCCACGGCATGGCGGGGGGGACCCTGGGGGTGTGGCCGGGCAGCCTCTGACCTCGCCTTCCCCTCTGGTCCGCAGCCCTCCCAGGATGTGGAGAAGGTAGGAACGGGCCCTGGGCCCGTGGTGGTCCCCGCGTCCCCCTTGGGCAGAGGGTGGGTGGCCGGAGGGGTCCTGAGGCCACCCCCGCGGTTCCTGGGGTTCCCACCACCGGGCCAACCCATCCTGGGCCCAGTTCCACGCAGACGCCGGCAGGCTGCTCACGCGCCACCGGCGGCGGCTTAGGCCCTGCTCCTGCCCACCCTTGCGGCCCCACTGCGCGCCCGCCCAGGGCCCGGGCTGCCGGGAGCCCCCGGGGGTCCCTCATGCCTGAGCCCGCTGCCGCCCCGCCCCCAGGGCCCAGTGTGTGTCAGCGCGAAGCTGCGGCTGGCGGAGCGCCGGCAGCAGAGGCTGCGGGACGTGCGGGCCAAGCGTGAGCTGCTCTGCGCGGAGCTGGCCGCGACGCAGGGCCGGCTGATGCTGGAGCCGGGCCGCTGGCTGGCGCAGTGTGAGTCCCCGCCGCTGAGGCCCACGCTCGCCGGGACCCGCCCCCGCCCCGCCCTGGATGCCCTGGCCCTCTGTGCCCCGCCCCAGGCCCTGGGCCTGACCGGCGGTCGCTGTCCCCCCAGTCGAGGTGGACCCTGCGCTGGAGCCCGAGTCTGCGGAGTACCTGGCAGCGCTGGAGCGTGCAACGGCTGCCCTCGAGCAGCACGTGAACCTGTGCAAGGCCCACGTCATGATGGTCACCTGCTTCGACATCAGCGTCGCCGCCCCGGCCGCCACCCCGGGGCCGCAGGAGGTGGACGTCTGAGGCCGGGCCCGGGACTCGGGGGAGGGGACGTGCAGGGCGTGAGGACGGCACGTGGGATGGACGGCGGATGTGGCAGAGGATGGAGGGACGTGCGCGCGGAGGGTCCGGCGCGGGGCCGGCTCGGAGTGGAGGGGATACGAGGGAGCGGTGCGGGCGGGGGTGTGTGCGCTCAGGACGCGGCGACGGTCCCCGCCCGGACAGCAACGCAAGTGCCTTTATCCTGGACCAGGGCTTCTCTTCCTTTCACGTTTGGTGCTAAAAACTCAGGCCACCAGCAGCTTGGCCCCCGGGCCCCTCCCAGCGTTCAGGGCCGCAGCCCCGGGGCTCTGCCGGCCTGTGGCCCCGCCCCGAGCGCCCGCTCCGTCCTGAGGTCACGGGGGCGGCGCCCCGGGCTGAGCCCGAGCCACGCAGCGCCTTCTCCCACGGCGGGAGCTCTTACCAAAACCACATGCAAAGAACAAACCCACACACACGCGGGGGACGAGGGCTGTGTACAGGTCCTGTTAGGTTTGTATTTTTATATGATTTTGCCTACAAACACATTTGCAGTGGGGGCTTGAAGACAGATGATCTATGTTTCTACAGTTTTCTATGGAAGGGGTCCCTCAGGCTGGGCTCTCTCTGGGGGCCCCGCGGGCCGGGCGGGGACCAGGCTGGGCCTGCCGATGCGCGGCGTTCCCCTCACCGCGGGCTGTTTCCTGGCCGTCGTGCATTTTGGGGGGCACACGCATCTTTGTACAAACGTGTAGGTGGCCTCTTGCCACAGCTTTTATTTGTGAATAAAAGACACACCGATTGTCCACGTGGCTCCTGAGTCGCAGGCGCTCTGCCCCTCTCCGGGGCTCCGGGTGCGGGTCGGTGCGCCCTTGGGGACCCCGGGTCTCCCGCTCCGTCGCCGGCTGCCTTGGCAGGAGGGAGACAGTGGCCGTGCTGTGGACCCTCAGGCTTCGAGGCCCTGGAGGCAGCAGGAGCCCCACGCGGCATGGCTGGGCCCTGTTGGGGGCGGGGGCGGGGGCTTGTCCCCAGAGGACTGGGACCCTGTTCTGGGTTCCTGCAGAGGCCCCAGGCCCTCTGGGGGAGACAGAGCCCGCTGGGGCCCTCGTCCCTGCTGTCCCTCACCTGGCGTCGCTGGCCTCCTGGTCCGCCTGGCTCCTGGGGGCCTTTGAGCTCGGCCTGTCCCAGCGGCTGCGATCAGCTTCTCCCCAGGCCTGCGTCTCTGCCCCCACCTTGTCTGAAGGCTGCACCCGGCGCCCGCCCCGCCCGCCCCGCTCGGGCCTTCGCTGCCCTGGCTGCGGGCCCGGCCCTGGGCCCCTGGTGCTGACCACGCTCCGTCTGAGGCCTGGTCCCCTGGCTCCAGGCCCCCCAGAGCCTCCCAGCTCGGGCCCTTCGCACCGTGTGCCTGGGACCCACCCTCCAGGCGGCGAGTGTGGGGACCCTCCTTGGTGGCTCTGCTGCCCCCTCCACCCGGCACATCCCACCTCGATGGGGCCCTCAGAGGTGGGGTGAGGTCTGAGTCGTCACTGCACCCCCACGTGGGGCTCGGGGCTGGGCGCCGGTGGAAGGGAGGGAGGGAGGGAGGAAGGAAGGGGCAAAGGGATGAGGCTTCTCGAGGAGGCTTCCAGCCTCAGGCAGAAGCAGGTCCAAGATCCAATGAGTGTTCACACCGCCTCCCTGGACGCTCCTGGTCGGCCTCAGACAGGCCTGGTCCTCCATGCGGCCGTGTGGCCCCTGTGGGTCGGGCCACAGAGCCGTCCATGCTGGGCCCCCCGCCCCAGGCTGCCTCCTCACTCTGCTGCCGACCACACCTGGGTCCCCGGCCCGTGGGTCCGGGTCCCCTGTCAGCTCACCTGGGGCGGGACTCCTCTGCCCCCAGCTCTCCCTCCCTTCCTGCCCTGAGGCTGGGTGCCACCCACGCCTGCTTCTCTGTCACGGGATCTGGGGGCAGGGCAGGTGTGATGGGACCCGGGGTGGGGTGGGGAGACGGACCCTATCGGGGGCCTGGGGACCGTCCAGGCAGCTGGGGCCCAGGGTCTGGCCCTGCATGGCCCAGGGGCCCCTCTGTCCTCAGGGGCCGGGGAGGAGGTGCTGGGGGTCTGGCCGGCTGCACAGGAGGCCGTGGGCCTGGCTCCGCTGAGAGGGCTGCGGGCTCGCTCCCAGCACGCCCTGCGCCGCCTCACCCGGGCTGCGGGCGGGGGTGGGGGTGGGGGTGGGGGTGGTGGGCTGGCCCAGTGGTCTCTCTTCTGCAGGGAACACCCCCTGCTCCCTCCCGGGCCCCTCGATCAAGCGCTGGAGGGGCCTCTCGGGAGCAGACCCTGCGGATCCCGGCGGCACCCACTCCCCACCGCCGCGCCGAGGGCGGCACCTGCTCTCCAGGACACCCCCACCCCCGTCCAGAGCCTGCGCGGCCTTTCATCTGGGACATCAAAGCTCCCAGCCCTGCCATTACAGGCTGGGCCCCTCTGGGAGCAGCTGAGGGCCCGGAGGCCCATTCTGTGGATGGAAGGGCACGGGACCCAGCTGTGGGCCGGCCCGGCAGTGCCGTGCGGTGCCATCAGCCGCTGGTCTGTGGGCCTCCGCTGGCGAACAGGTGGGGAAGCTGGGGCCCAGGGCGGGCGCCTTTCAACTCGGAGGAAGGGGCAGAATCGGAGCTCACAAGGATCCCGGCGGCGGGAGTCCGGGCCAGCCCAGCCCCAGGGGGAGGGTTGGGAGCTGGTGGGAGGAGGCTGGGGTGCCGGCCTGGGCGGCAGGGACGGGGTACAAGCTGGCCCAGGCAGTGCCTCCAACGGTTGGTCTGCTCCCCGGGCGAGGTGCCCGTCTGGCCCGCCCTGCCACCCTGCCCACCCGGCCCTGGGCCCCGAGAGGCCACGTGGGGAGGCAGGGCGGGGGTGAGGGGCGTCAGGCTGAGCTGGGTGAGCAGGGACCGGGCCCAGAGGGCCCAGAAGGCGGCTGGGAACAGGCAGGAGCCAAGCGCTTGCCCTGCGGGCCCACCTCTCCCTGGGCCTGGAGTCCTGGCTGCTCCTTCCCGGCCACCTCGGGGTGAAGGGGCCCAGGGACCCGCCTGAGATATTAGAGCCCTTGGGAGCAGCTCAGAGCTTTCTGGGCGGGGACTCGGCCCTGCGCCCTGGCCCCCTGGCCATGGTCACGCAGGCGGCGAAGGGGCCTGCAGCCGTGACCGTGGAGAGGGCAACGCCTGCGTGGTGTGGGGACGGTGGCATTGGGGGCAGGAAGCAGAGGCGGGCGGGCCCGGCGGGCAGCCTGGGACCCCGGGGCCTGGACCCGGGACCCCAATGCATGTGCACGGCTCCGCCAGGGCCGCGCCTCCCAGGCGCTGGCTGCAGCAACGGACACGTGGGGCCTTGTCCTCTCCCGAGCTGGGCCCCCGGGACGTGGGGTGAGGCCACGTCGGCCCCTTTGGCGCCCCCACTGTGTCTGAGCCCTGCAGGTGTAGGGGGCGGTGGCCTGGGGAGCAGGGGGCAGCACCGTCAACACCGCCCTGCCCTCCCCTGCCCTCAGGACACCCGGCGCTCTCCTGAGGTCCGGGGCAGGGGACCGCGGGGGGCAGTGGCCTCCGTTTCCTTCTCTGTCCCACCCCCAGTCTCCCGTCAGTGCCCGCCGCTGCCAGCCGCCCACTGGGACTGCCTGTCCTGCCTTCTCGGGGCCCCCAGCCCACGGTCCCCCCGGAGTCTGGGGCCCTCAGCTGACCTCCCCGCAGGTCTGGGGTGGGGACGTTTGCTCAGGCAGGGAGACCCTGCTCTCAGGACAGCAGCCCCGCCCCACCCTGCCCGGCTGGGCGCCAGGGAGCCCCGGAGCCCTGGGGGGCTGGGCAGGGCTGGGCCTGCTCCCAGCAAACAGGAAGCTGGAGGGGCGATTTCTTCTCCAGACATTGTGTTTACCCAGGCGGGGTCCAGGCCCCGCTTCCACACAGGAAAGCGGGAGGCGGGGGCCGGGAGGGGCCAGGAAGCGCTTCCTGTGGCTTGGCCGGCAGAGGGGCAGGCGGGGGCGGGGCCGCCCAGAGCCCCGAGGGCTCCGTCCCACTCAGAGCTTGGGACTGGGCAGCCCTGGAGCCCTTGCGGCCCGCACTCCGCCTCAAAGTTGGGGATGCAGCGGCTCGGGCCGGGGGACCATGTCCCCACCGGACACCGGACAGGACAGGGCCGTGATGTGTCCCCTCCCCAGTCCCTTGTGGTCTCGCACAGGGAGAAGGTGGGGCGCAGGGTCCTGTGGGGTCTCAGGGAGGGGCCTCCTGGGAGCGGCGGGAGAGGTGAGGGGGGAGCCTGCAGGGGCGGCGGGGGGCAGCCAGAGGCCCTCCCTTAAGGCCCTGCGGACCCGGCTAAACCCGCACCCGCCCTCCTCCCCAGCGTTCTCAACAAAGGCGCTCTCAGCGCAGACTCGGAAGCTCGGAGGCGAGGTCTTCCTCTCCCATCCCTCCGCACCCCTCCCCCCTCACCTTCTAAACTGCGCCCACAGAGAAAAGCAGAATTTCATCGACAGCCACCCCCAGCGGCGCCGTCTGCTGTACAGTATTTCAGAGCCGCTTTGGGGAAAGGAACTGTGTTCTGTTGCCTGGAAGCGTGTGCGTGTAGTTCCCACGGGGAGTGCCCACGCACCGCGGCGCGTCCCACGTGAGTGTGGGCCGATGGCCTGTGTGTCACACTCAGCGCGCCCGCGCCGGCGGGTGCATTCCTGTCAGGAGCCGAGCCCAGGCTTGACGCCGGCGCCCCCTGCTGCCCCTGCCCTGGCCCGGGTGTCGCCCAGGCTCCGCACCGGGGCCCCGCACACTCGGCTGTCCCGCCCGGGGGCCTGCTCCGGTCTCCCGCGCCGTTAGCCGCTGTCTCCGTCAGCACGCACTCGGGGCGCTGCTCCGTACGTGGGGTTACACTCCAACACGACGGAACCTTGTTCCTAAAACCGCTCCAGCCCCGGCGGGTGCCACTCAGTGGACTGAGCGCCGGCCTGCGACCTGAAGAGTCGCCAGTTCAATTCCCAGTCGGGTCCCCCGTTGCGGGCGTGTGAGAGGCAACTGTTTCTTGCACAACGATGTTTCTCTCCCTCTTTGTCTTCTTCCCTTTCTCTCTCTCCAAAAACAAATAAACACAATCTTTTATTAAAAAAACAGAATGAATTGGCTCTAGCGTTGGCCTCCGGGAGCCCTTGCCGTTGGCCAGAGCCGTCGTGAAGTCCTCGTCCGGCCGGCGGCCCCCGCGCCCGCGCAGGGCAGCCCAGTCCTGACTGTGCATCCCGCTTCCCACCCTGCGGCCGCCCCG